GCTCCCTCTATTCTACTGGCTGGTGGAGTCTGTTGTGCCATTTCAGGGGTGCAGGAGATGGAAAAACCCCATCGCGTCGTCACAGGGGTCTGTTTGGGGATCAGTTCTATTCAGTATCTTCATCAATGATTTAGATATTGGCCATAGAGAGAACACTTATTAACTGTGCAAGCTGGAAGGGGTTGCAAGTGCTTTGGAGGAGAGGATCATAATTCAAAATGATTTGGACAAACTGGAGAAATGGTCTGAGGTAAACAGGATGAGGTTTAATAAGGACAAATGCAAAGTGCTCCACTTAGGAAGGAACAGTCAGTTTCACACATACAGAATGGGAAGCGACTGTGTTGGAAGGAGGACTACAGAAAGGGATCTAAGAGTCATAGTGGACCACAAGCTAAATATGAGTCCACAATGTGACCCTGTTGCAAAAAAAGCAAACATCACTCTAAGATGCATTAACAGGAGTATTGTGAGCAAACACAAGAAGTAATTCTTCTGCTCTACTCTGCTCTGATTAGGCCTCAGCTGGAGTATTGTGTCCACTTATGGGCACCACATTTCAGGAAAGATGCGGAGAAATTGGAGAAGGTCTGGAGAAGAACAACAAAAATGATGAAAGGTCTAGAAAACTTGAGTTATGAGGGAAGACAAAGAATTGGGCTTGTTTAGTTTGGAAAAGAAAAGACTGAGAGGGGACATGATAACAGTTTTCAGGTAACTAAAAGGGTGTTACAAGGAGGAGGGAGAAAACTTGTTCTCCTTGGCCTGCAATGACAGGACAAGAAGCAATGGGCTTAAATTGCGGCAAGGGAGGTTTAGGTTGGACATTAGGAAAAAACTTCCTGTCAAGGTTGTTAAAAACTGGAATAAATTGCCTAGGGTGGCTGTGGAATCTCCATCGCTGGAGGAATTTAAGAGCAGGTTGGATAGATATGTCAGGGATGATGTAGATGGTGCTTGGTCCTGCTGAGGGTAGGGGACTGGACTTGATGACCTCTCAAGGTCCCTTCCAGTTCTTGTATTTTGTGATTCTAGGACTCTGGCAATACACTGTTCTCTAAGGGCACGTCTAGACTACCCTTGGCTTCCAAAAGAAGATATGCAAATTTGGCACAAATTTCTGATCCCTTTTTTTTGGAAGAGGTTTCCAAAAAAAAAAAAAAAAGAAAGAAAGCAGCCTAGACAAGGTTTTTCGCACAACCCCCCTTTCTCGAAAGAACCCTTATTCCTCAAAAACGAGGTTTTCAGGGTTCTTTCGAAAAAGGGGGGGTTGCGTGAAAAACCCTGTCTAGACTGCTTTTTTTTTCGAAAAAACCTCTTCCGAAAAAGGGATCGAAAGAAGATATGCAAATTCACACCAAATTTGCATATCTTCTTTCAGAAGCCGAGGATAGTCTAGACATGCCCTAACTCTATGTACAAGTGGGCACAGAACGGAGAGCGCCCTCTGCTGAGTCCCCACCTACCCCCATCCTCTTGCAGCACCCTGCTGGAGCATGAGGGTCAGCATTGACTGAGGGGGAAAAGCGCCCCCTGCTGTGAGACTAGCAATCTCCGCCTTCTTTCCCACCCATCCACTGCTGGGAAAAGGACATGACACACCCCCTCCCTTCTCCACCCGGCTCTTTTGTAGCTCCAGGAGCATTCCCACTGCATATGCTGGCTAGTGTTTCTGCCAGTGCTCAAGGCCCCATCGGCGGCAATTCCTTTGGCTTCAGTGGGCTTCTGGTCAGACCCCTAGAGCGCTGAAAGTCTATGGGATATAACATGCTGCATTACATTGTCTAGGCACTTAGTTGCGGGGTGTCTGTAGTCTACTAGCAGTTCCCTGGGACCTTCAGGGGGCTGGCAGGGGTCGGGAGGAGCGCAGGAGTCAGGGCAGGGCCTTGGGGATATGAGGGGCAGTGCAGAAGGCTGGGGGTGGAGGGCTGGGAGAGTGTGGGTTGGGGGGGGAGGAATGGCTCAGGGCAGGGGGATCCCATCCAGCCCAGGCCTTTTCTCTCGCCCCAGCCCCCTCCAGACCCCCAGGGGCCTTCCCCCTCCCCCAGTGCTGTGGACAAGGATGGCAGGGGGGTCGGGTTTGGGGCAGGAAGGCTACTTACTATTACGTTGGCAGGCAAAATGGCAGAGCCCCAGCACAGCAGGCCTCTCCCGTGGTGGTGTGGCCGCCCCCAGTGGGGCCACTCTCATATCATGTCCCTCTGAACAGCTCGTCCCTTCACAGGTTATGGAAAACTGCCCTTTTCCCAGGGCTCTCAGTTTTCCTGGCACAAACTGACCCTGCCCTTGCTTTACGTTAGAGTAAGAGGAAGTTGCATGCCAAATTTGATGGTCTTAGCTGTTACCATTAAGGAAAATGGACTCGCAGACAGACACACAAATCTCTAAAATATAGAGATATAGATTACGGTATAAATTGTCCCATTGTGGTACATATCTGCTACATTACAGAATACAGGCACTGAGTGACTCTATGTGTGTGTGTATAGTTACATATCTATGCTATGTTTGGCTATGCAGGTGCTCTGTTACAGTAAATGCATTTATTATGTATCTGCATTATCGCCAAGAGGCCCGCACTAAGATCAGAGCCCCAGTGTGCTAGGAGCTGTACAAACACACAGTGAGAGCTAGGCCACACCCTGTGGACTTCCACATACAAGGCAAATGCAGGAGGGGAAGAGACTTGTTTCAGGCCACCCAATGGGTCTTCAGCAGAACCTGGTCTAGAACCCAGGTATCCGGAGGCCTCGTCACTGAAGCACATACATGCTGTCTTGTGGCATATTTGTTTTACAGCATACAGATGCTAAACGTGGTATATAAATGTAAGTTGCTGTATATCAACGCTGTGTTACAATTTGCACCTGATCAGTTGTGACACATACATGTTCAGTCTCTGCATACAGATCCTATGTTACCACATCCATTTGGTAAGTTGTGATCTATCGACTCGTGTTACAACAGCTACGTGTCATGTAGAGTTTTGCAGGAAGTTATGTTTCTGGGTTTAGCGGGAAGTTCCGTCATTTCAGAATTGGTCTGTGTTCTGACTTGGAATAAGATGTTGAATTTCAACATTTCCACCTCAGTGAATTCTGGTAAAAACATTTGTTTTGTGTCATGAGCTTTTGTGGGCAAAAGCCACTTCCTCGGATGATGCTTTGTTAGGTGATTTTCACCTACAAATGAAGTTCTGTTGAAATCAACGTGTTTCGGGCAGAAAAATGTTCTGTAGAAAAATTTTCAACCAACTCTAATGCAATGTTTCAGTGTGTATGTGCCTCTTTATGTGTAAGGTGCTGAATTAGGGACTATATGTACCATGTTATGGTATACAGGCACCACTTTACATTATATAGGTGCCACTCTATGATATTGTGGTATTATGGGATATTGATGCCTCTGTAGATGTAGGTGATAAGTGCAATTAACCCCATGCACTGTTTGATTCCTTCCAGGAGACTCGCGGAGGATCCTAACCAGCTTCAGCCAGGATGGAGTCTTCAACTATGATACATTCCTCCTGAGCGAAGATGAGGGCACTTTGTACGTGGGAGCTCGCGACACCATCCTCTCCTTGCGGGTGGATAGCCCTGGGTCCATGGAGCTGACGGGCTTAGTGAGTAGCACTTGGCTTTCCCCACAATCAGGAGCATTTCAGGTGCAGGAGGGAGGCAAGCTGGTCTAGGGGAGGGAGAACGAAAGTCAGATCTGGGTTCTGGTCCCTGCCCCATGCCTCAGTTTCCCCATCTGTAAGGTAGGGATCGTGATACGCAGGGGTGAGGGACTGTGCAATGTAATTCATGAATGTTGGTAAATCTCAAGGGGAAGCCTCTAGAAAGAATAGAGCTGAAGAGTCCTGACTTCCTATCCGCCTTGCTCTGACCATTAGACCACACTATCTCCCAGGACCAGGAACAGATGCCAGGAGACCTGACTCTCCCGTGCCCTTGCTCTGACCACTAAACCATACTCCCCTCCCTGAGAATTTTGCTTTCAGCAGCTTTCTCTCCTTCCAGTGTGCTATTACAGGCCTTTGACCTTTTCTCCAGGTTGCATTTTCCTTTCAACCCTTCAAGAATCTCTCTCTCTCTCCGCTCCTATAGATAAAGTGGCAACCCTTCCCTGGAAAAAAGCAGGAGTGTGTCTTTAAGAAGAAAAGCAATCTGGTAAGGAGAGGGGGAGATGCTGGTGCTGGAGTGGGCTGTATTATGCCCCTAGAGGGCATAGTTATGTTTGGAGAGAATCTGAGAGGCAGTGCTGGGTGGTGGGTCTGAGGCTGGTGGCTTTGTGGTGCTGTGAGAAGTGGTACCACGCGAGGGGCAATTCTTGGGCATGGTTTCTCACTCCTGCAGTTTGAACGGGAAGTGGAAGCGCTTGCTGATGCACTAGGCAGCATTCTTCTCACAGTTGTGTTCTCCTCCTAAACTGCTGTGCATCTATCACGCTCCACCCCAGAGGCAGCTGGTTTTTAGGGCTGGGTGAGAAATCCCTGTGCAGCGTTGCTTTGTGCTGTTGCGTTCCACTTCAGAGGTACATGCTGATTGATGGTGACTCGTGACCCCTGTCATTGCTCCGTGGTACTGCCCTGCTACCAAATCCCACCCCAGAGGTGGCTGCTTTTTAATGCTGGATGAATAATCATTGTGCAGTGTTGCTCTGTGCTTTTGAAACAGTGCCACTCTCCGGGTATGTCTACACTACTCCGCTAGTTCGTGGAACGAGGTGTACAGCTAGTTCGGATTAGGAAGCCTAATCCGAACTAGCTACTCTGTGCCGCATGTAGCCACACGGCACGGGGTTCGAACTAGCCGGCATTTAAAAATGGCGCCGGCCGGCTTCATGCAAATGAAGCCCGGGAAATTCAAATCCCAGGCTTCATTTGCAACTGCGGATGACTACATTACCCCCGCTAGTTCGAACTAGCGGGGTAGTGTAGACATACCCTCCTTCCCAGAGGTGGCTGCATTTTAGTGCAGAGTAGAATCCCTGTAGAGTGTTACTGTGTGCTATTGAACTGCAGCCAAGTCCCACCCCAGAGGCGGCTGCATTTTAATGCTGGGTGAATAATCATTGAGCAGTGTTGCTGTGTGTTTTTGACACAGCTGCCTCTCTCCACCCCAGAGGTGGCTGCATTTTAATTAGAGGTAAGTGTTCCCAATGAGCTGTTGCTGCGGGTTGTTAAATCACAGCTGCATTCCACCCCAGAAGTGGCTGCATGTCAGTGATCTGAAATCTAAGCTGTAATTTTTAAGTGGCATGTTCTTTTCTCCCACAGACAGAATGCTTCAACTTCCTCCGTATCATGGTGCCAGTGAACAAGACTCACTTGTACGTCTGCGGGACCTACGCCTTCAGCCCCGACTGCTCTTACATTGTGAGTATCTGGTTTGGGCCAGGGGCAGTGTTAACTCCGGCACTGGTTGTCTGAGTTTCACCGAGCTCCAGAGCCTGCAAAAGCATTTACATCCGGAAATGGACCAAGGCTCACAGAAGAGGCAGGGCTGGTCTGTGATTCATCCTGAGGCTGCTGGACACAGACAGGTTCTCTCTGGCCCTGCGGTCCCCCAGTCAGTATGTAGGGTTATCCCATGGTGTCTCCATAAATACTGGCCCAGACTGCGGGAGACAGAAGGCATTTAGGGCCAGATTGACAACGGGGTTTAGGTGCCCGTGGAGATTTAAAAAAAAGTAGTAGCTGAGTTAGGTAGCTAAACTTCATTGGTTTTCAAAGGAAGTTAGGTACCGAGATGCTTTTGAAAATCCCAATATATACCTACCTATGTCTTCAAGTGCTTAAACTCTGGGCAATCTGGTCCTTATAAGCTAGGTCTAGACTGCGTTTTTTTGGTCGGAAAAAGCTATGCAAAATGTGCTCCGCATTTTGTGTAGCTTTTTCTGATTTTTTTTTTCGGAAGAGGCTTTTCCGAAACTTGGCCCGTCTACACTAGGCCAAATTTTGGAGAAGCCTCCTCTTTCAGAGGAGCCCTTATTCCTCGTGGAACGAGGAATTCAGGGCTCCCTGAAAGAGTGCGTTTGCTCTTCCACAAAAAAAAGTGGAAGAGCAAATGTGTTCCCTGGATGTGGCAGGATTTTTCCGGAATACCTCTGGTATCCCAGAAAACCTCCTCAGTGTAGATATAGCCATAGGCGTGTGTGTGTGTGTGTGTGTGTGTGTGTGTGTGTGTGGATGACTGTACTACTGTGAGAGAGAGAGAGTGTGAAAGAGAAAGGGAGAGGGAGGGACAGCAGGGAGGAAGAGAGGGAGGGAGGGGGAAAGTCAGGACTTGGGGTCTATTTCCAGGTCTGAGAGGTAGTGTGGTCTAGTAGTCACAGTGAGTGGGGAGGAGTCCTGACTCAAGTTTTAGTCTCTGTAGAAGAACTTTGCTGCCCCCTACTTCATATTTTCTGAACCTAGCCTTGGTTATTTCCCTTTCTAGAAGAAAGGCCTGTGTTTGTAGGAGCAGTAGTGCATTTACAGGAACCCAGGTCAATATTTTCAGACATGGCCAGTGTTTAGGGTTGCCAGATGGTTTAAAAAAAAACAGACAAAAATGTGATAAAAATTTGTCAAGCAAAAACAAAAACAAAAGCACCGGGGGAGGAGGGGTAATTTGGGAGGTCAGGCTGAAATGTGGTTATGGCCCCTTTAATTGCTGCGTGTCCCGAGCAGGCTTCCGTTAGGTGCCGAGCTGGGCCCGGGAAAAGCAGAAAAACTTACTTAATTAGAAAATACCGGATATTTATATGGTTCAATACCAAGCACCTGGCAATTCTGCCAGTGTTCCCTGTAAGCTGAGCACTTGGGCGGCCGCCCAAGAGCGATTCAAATGTTGCCCAGCTGATGAACCAAGTGCCCACAGCCGGCAGCCTGTGTTTCTACTCGTGGTGCACATCTGCACATGCCTCAGTGACCAGAACAACATTTATTCTGTACATGGATGGAAAAAATTAGAGGGAACATTGGACATGGCCTCTGATTTTCCCAGGTTGCGTAACACAAAAAAATGTAGCTCTGCAAAAACAAGCAACCAATTTTGAGCCTCGCTGGCTCTTTTCTTTTGTCGTCCCCAGAAGAATGAGCGAATCAGGACTCTGGCCTGGGTTCTGAACGCCTCCAGCATTCAAGGGTGTCCGGATTTGTCCAGATCCCTGAGGGCTGGGGTTCCATTAGTATTATCACGTGACTTGATTGGGGTTATAAGTGTGTGGTGTAGGGGATACAGCCCCAGTCTGGGTCTCAGAAACCTGGCATCCATTCCTGGCACTACCACTGGCTGACCCGCCTTGGTAAAATACTTTGATTATAATATGGAGAATTATCTTAATTACTAAAGTTGGATTTCCCCCTCCCCCATCCCCATGCAGGCCCACTGATGGGGCGAGTGGGGACAAAGAGGGCAGTTGCCCCAGATCCTGGTGTTTCAAAGGGGCCTGAGACTCCTGGCCCTTTAATTTGCTTTTGGAGTCCTGTGTCATGCGTTCTGGGTGGCTCTAAGGGCTGGGTAGCTCCTAGCTGCCCCTGTGCCCCACCCCTTCTGGGAGCTCAGAGCCAGGCCTCTCTCCATCTTGCCACCGACCGCCGTGGAGACTGCTGGCTCCCCTGTCCCCATGAGTCTGCAGGGAGCTGGCTCTAGGGATCCGGCTTTAGGTTGAACTCAAGCTATTGGGTTGGTTCTTGTTCGGCAACTGGCTGATTTTTTTTTTTAATTCCTCGTAGTCGCTGCAGAATTTCAGCCTGGTTCCTGCCCTCCAGGATGGGAAGGGGCAGTGCCCCTTTGACCCCCAGCACAAGCACACGTACATCCTGGTGGGTGAGTAGGAGCTGCCCCTGCCTCTCCCCTTCGGCCTAAGGAAGCTGCCCCCCCCCCCCCCACACACACACACCCCTTACTCGGGGGCCTGCCCTGATGGGGGCCAGAGGCACTGGCACAGCTCTCTCTCTCTGCCTGCAGATGGTGAACTCTACACGGGGACCATGAACAACTTCCAAGGCAACGAGCCCATCATCTCCCGCACCCTGGGCAGCCGGGCCTTGCTGAAGACCGATGCCTTCCTCCGGTGGCTGAACGGTGAGGCTGGGGGAGGAGGGCCTGTGGCTGGGAATGGGGGAGGAGAAAGGGAAAGCCGAAGGGCCAGGGTGAGCAGGAGCCGTGTGAGGTAGACTCTGAAATCTACAGCTGCCCGTTTATGGGCCTGATTCTGTTCCCCGGTGGGGCTGGAATGAGGGGCTGCAACACCCCTTTGTGCGCTTCATGTTCTAAGGCTGAGCTGGGCCTGGCTCTTGGGTCCCCTGGGCTCACCATGGGCCCCCACAGTCCCTGGGAAGTAGTGAATAACCAGAGCTCAGTACGCTCTCCCCTTGCCCACAGTCTTCCTCTCAGCCAGGACAGGTACAGGGAAGACCCTGCGCAAGGAGGGTTTTCATGGGGCCAGCTCCTCCTTCGTTAAGGCCCTTTAGCAGCTTAATGGGGCCTCGCATCTCAGAGAGTCAGGCCCGGAGAGGCTTTGCTCAGGTCACCGTCACCTGTTCGCCAACAGGTGAATGTCTGATGCCCGCAGGCCCTTCGGGAGGTGTTTCCTAGGCAACAAGCTCGCAGCCTCCCACAGAAGTTTACACAGCCCCCATCCTGTCCCCTGGATTGGATAGCTAAGGTCTCCTTCTCCCCACAGTCGACGCGGGCTTCGTGGCCTCTGTCAACATCCCTGGCGACGAGAAGGTCTATTTCTTCTTTGAGGAGACGGCGGAGGAGTTTGATTTCCTTGAGAAGCTCACCGTCTCCCGGGTGGCTCGCGTATGCAAGGTACGAGGCAGGCCCGAACCGGCTACAGGAGCACGCGTGCTCATGTGTCTCCTACCCTGGCGTTGGTCTTACCTGCTTGTGGCCTGTCCTGGTGGCGAAAAGTGACCCACCAGTGGCACAGGGCCTCTGTTTGGTCCTCCGTGGCATCTAGGCCACCTGGCAGCCTTCAGATCTCTGCTGGAGTGATGCCTAGAGCTGGGTGGACCATGGGAGACAGCAACATTGCCAAGGAGAGAAATTCAGCCGCGCCCTCCCAGAGCTGGGCTGATGGGGACTGTAGTGTTGCCTTTCTAGCTGAAATGTGGGACTGGCTGCTGGTGTCACTCGCTTATTTACAGACATAGACACATGCTGATTAGGGATGTAAAATCCCATTTAACTGGTTAACCAGTTAAACATTGTGTTTAACCAGTTAACCAATTAAAGGGGGAGCAAGCAGAGGGGGGCAGGCTGGAGCAGCCCCCCTGCCTGCCGCTGCTGGGCTGGAGCGACCCCCCCCCACACACCCAGCCAGAGCAGCCCCCGCTGTGGACAGGGGCTGCTCTGTCCAGGCTGGAGTGCCCCCACCTGTGGTGGGCCCCAAAGGCTGGAGCAGCCCTCTGCCCATGATGCTGACTGGTTAATCAATTAACCTTTCACATCCCTAATGCAGATGTCCCATTTCCTGGCTCAGCACCAGCCTGGGGTCCAAGAATAAACTGGCTGTGTGGCCTCTGCTGCTTTCCAGATCCTTGCAGCTACCCCCCGGCATTCAGACCCCCTAGCTCCCTATGGCTTAAGAGGGATAAGGGAACTTTCAGAAAAGGCTTTATTTTCCGAAAGATCCACATCTAGACTGGTGCTTTTTTCCAGCAAATCTCCGAGCCGGAAAAAAGCGGCAGCCATTTTTATGCTAATGAAGCGGGGGAGATTTAAATCCCCGCTTCATTTGCAATTGCAATATGTCTAGTTTGCATCCCTTTTTACGGAAAAGGGATGCAGTCTAGAGACAGTCTGAGTGTCGCAAACCATCGCAATCAAGGACCCAGGGGCCTGGTGGAGTCTCCATCCCCCGACCACTTGTCAATCCAGACGGGATGTTTTTCCTAAGAGATCAGCTCTAGGCGTGGACGGCAGGTATAAGAGGCAAGGGAAGGCATGGCCCCGCCCACGCTCCGCCCCCAGAATGCCCACTGCTTCAGTGCTGCCCATCCTCCTCATGGTGCTCTGGGTCAGGGAGGCTCCCGTGGGGAACTGAAGGCTTACCTCTGTGGTGTGGGAGGGGGCTTGGCACCTGGGGGGGGTGTGGGACTTTGGGCAGAAGGAGCGGGGTTGGGGGCTTGCTTCCCCCAGCCCTCCATTCATGGCTCTAGGAATGATTTGGGGGCAGGTCTGTGTTCTGTGCTCTCCGGGAGATCAGGCTGGACACTCACAGTGATTCCTTCTGGCCTTGGTAGACCCTAAGCCAGCCCATTAGCCTCCCAAGAGCCCCGTTCACCATGGTCTGGGCGGTTTCCTGCCTGGTATCCACCCTTTTAGTTCCTCACCATATGCACAGGAGGGCTTCTTACAGCATCCTTGTCTGGAACATCCGCTGATCACAGCCCGGTGGCTGGGTTACTGACCACAGTTATATCCCTAGAACTCCCCCGTTTTATTTCAAGTAGGGCATTGAGACTAGTCTCCCTCCGGGCCACCTCCCTTCATTCAGAATAGCTCCTCCCATCTTTGGAGCAGCACATACCCCCTCTCCACCCCCTGGCTGGCAGAGTGGTACTAGCACAGCGGCCACATGGCTGCACACTGACCAAGAGTGCAAGACAGCCTCTCGGCCAGCCCCTTAAGGAAAGGCTCAGTTCTGTTCAGCGTGACGGGGCGTTCCTCTCTCCTGCAGAATGACGTTGGCGGAGAGAAGGTGCTGCAGAAGAAATGGACCACCTTCCTGAAAGCCCAGCTGACGTGCTCCCAACCCGGACACTTCCCTTTCAACGTAATCCATCATGCCTTTGTCCTACCGCAGCCAGAGGGGGATGCCATCTTCTACGGGGTCTTCACCTCACAGTGGTAAGGCAGGAAACTTTCCCCTCCTGCCCAAAGAGTTCAGAAATCCCCCAAGGACAAATGAATTCCCAGGCTCATTCAAGATCTATCACAAGAATGACATTTTTGGGGAGAGGTGTCTGTCTAGCCTGCTCGTTAAAATGGACATGGTGCACCCAGAAAGTCGGACAATTTCTGGCTTGTGGTTCAACTCGGATGCTTCATTATTAAAGAACATGTAATTAACCCATGGAACTCCTTGCCACATGATATTGCTGAAGCAGGTTGCTTAGTAAATTTCAGAGCTAAGAGATCAGACCTGTGTCTAGTGGTTAGAGTAAGTGGCTTGGGTTCTTAGTTCGACATCTAGGAGTGAGGGTGATCTAGTAGTTGGAGCACTGGGGACTGGAAGCTGGCACTCCTGGGTTCTGTGCCCTGCTCTAGAAAGGAGCATGGTCGGGGTGGGGGGCGGGCTGGGAGTCAGGACTCCCAGGTTCTACTCTAAGGCAAGTGAGGCTTGATGCTTTGAGCATGGTCGGCGGCACTAGATGGAGGTCGCTGTGTGGAAGCACATGACCTTAACTTTTTCAGAAGTATCAGATGGGGGAGGAGCACTTATAAAGAGACCCAAATGGGGTGGTCTCCCCAAGCCCACTGACCCACATGTTACAGGCAGGGTGTGCCTGGATCCCACATCTGACCTACCTACCTAAGGGGCAGTGTTCCCTGTAAGCTGAGCACGTGGGTGGCCACCCAGGAGAGATTCAAATGCTGCCCAGCTGATTAGCAGAGCACACACAGTGCCCACAGCTGGCAGCAGGTGTTTCTACTTGTGGTGCACATCCACACATGCCTCAGTGCACATAACAAAATTTATTCTGCACACAGATGAAAAAAAATTACAGGGAGCCTTGCAAAGGGGTCCCCCTAGCACTGGCATATACCACTAATGGGATTCCTCCTCCCTCGGCAGGCAGATGGGGGAGGTGGGCAGCACAGCAGTGTGCGCCTTCAGCCGGGAGGCCATCGAAAGAGTCTTCAACGGCAAATACAAGGAACTGAACAAGGAGAGTTCCCGCTGGATGACGTACAACGGGGACGTGGCATCGCCCCGCCCTGGCAGCGTGAGTATCAGCTGCATAGCACGTCTCGCTCTATGGCAGTATGACGTGGGGGTCTGCCCCACAGGATGACTTTGCAGGATGGGCTTGGGGTTCAGCCAGCAGGCTGGGACTCAGGACACCTGGGTTGAGTTCCTGTCAGCGCCACTGACTTCAGTCAAGACACTTAATGGCTCCGTGCCTCAGTTTCCTTGGATAGTGATCCATCTGCTTTGCTCTTTACAGGGCATCATCAACTGTGCTCTCCCTTTCGTAAGGATGCCTACTAGAGCCAAAAGCCCTTCTAAGGCAGCCACTGGTGCTGATAGCCTTTCTGATCCCCCTGCCTCTCTCTCCCTGCAGTGCTCAGTGGGCTCGTCAGTGGACAAAACCCTGACCTTCATGAAGAACCATTTCCTGATGGATGGAAAGGTTGAGCCCATGACCAAGCAGCCGCTGCTGGTGAAGCAGAATGAGAAATACACACGGATCGTAGTCCATCAAACCCAGGACGTCTCGGGCACCGTGTACAACGTGATGTTCCTGGGAACAGGTACGGCTCCCGTGAGCAAGGCCAGCTTCTCGTGACAGCATCTTGGTTGTTTGTGGGCTGGATTCTGCACCCCACTGACAGCTTACACAGTGGCACAGTTCCCATTGATGTCAGTGGGGATGGAGGCGAGTCATAGTCAGCCAAATAACTCATTTTCTGGTAAGATGACTCACCTAAAAAAGTTCATTTCTGGTTGACTGGAAACAACACTTGGTGGGGGTTTGGATGAAATAAAAAATGTCAAAAATAGTTTAGTTTCTGAGGCCTTTTTACCTTAAAAATTACATCTGAAACACAGTTGAAATGTTTTATATTTATAGGCTACCTCTACACTACATGCTTCTTGCGCAAGAAGCCTTTTGCGCAAGAGTTTTTGCACAAAAACTTCCTGTGCAAGAGCATGTCCACACCTCAAAGCACATCGCAGAAGCAATGTGCTTTTGCACAAGAGAGTATCCACAGAGGGTACGTCTAGACTACAGGCTTTTGTCGACAGAAGTTTTGTTGACCGATACTGTCGACAAAGCTTCTGTCATCAAAGAGTGTCTAGACTACATCCAGTTCTGTCGGCAAAGCAAGCCGCTTTGTTGACATGACAGTGTAGATGCAAAGGACAGTGTAGATGTAATAATGCCTTCTGTCAACAGAACTTTGTAGATAAAAGGCGTTATTCCTCGTAGAATGAGGTTTACAGCCATCAACAAAACTGCTGAGTTCTGCCGACTCAAAACTGAATTCAAAACTCTGTAGTCTAGATACACCCAGAATGGCCATCAGAGCACCTATGCTTTTTCCCTCTGGAGCATCCACACTTTCCTTCTTGCGCAATAGCTGTAGCCAGGGCTCGCCAAGCAGCAGCAAGCCCCGCTCGCCAGCCACGTGGTTCTGTGAGCTGCGCATGTGCAGATCGCGCAACGCTGGCTGTGCTGGCTTGTAATCTACTCGCCATGGGTGAGTAGATTACATGATTTGTCGAGCCCTGGCTGTAGTGCTAAAAGTAGTTATGCCTCAGAAAAGGAGGTTTACCTACAGCGGAAAAAGACCTCTGTTCTGCCGTTGGACTGGCCATTTAATAGCGCAAGAGCTCATTTGAGGTGTGAGATGCTCCTCAGGTTTTTGCACAAAAACAGTTGTTTTTGCACAAAAACCTTGTAGTGTAGATGTAGCCATAAAGTTTGCAGATGATTCGAAACTGGGAGGGGTTGCGAGTGCTTTGGAGGAGAGGGTCAGAATTCAAAATGATCTGGACAAACTGGAGAAGTGTTCTGAGTTAAATAGGATGAAATTCAATAAGGACAAATGCAAAGTACTCCACTTAGGGAGGAACAATCAGGTGCATGCATGCAGAATGGGAAGTGACTGTGTAGGAAGGAGTACTTTAAAAACGGATCTAAGAGTCATAGTCAACCACAAGCTAAATATGAGTCAGCAGTATGACCCTGTTGCAAAAAAAGCAAACGTCACTCTGGGTATGTCTACACTGCAGAGTGGAAAAATGGCCGTTATTCCAAAAAACTTCACTTACATCCAAAAAAATTGAAAGAACAGAGGGATTTTTCCAACATTGGTAAACCTCTTTCTAGGAGGAAGAAGCCTTTTTCCGAAAGAGCTATTTCGGGAAAAGGTGTGTGTGGACAGGGAAGAGGGAGTTCTTTAGAGAGAAGAGGAAAAAGCACAAGTGTGCTAGTGGCCACTCCATCCATAGTAATCACAGCTTAAATGCGAGAGAGTGTGGAATCCATCTTTCGAAAAAGCAGATCACTTTTGTTGTGTGGACGCTCTCTTTTGGAAGAAGTTTTTTGGAAGATCTCTTCCGGAAAAACTTCTTCCGAAAGAAGCCTGCAGTCTAGACATAGCCTCTGAGATGCATTAACAGAAGTGTTGTGAGCAAGTCCCAAGAAGTCCTTCTTCCACTCTGCTCTGTGCTGATTAGGCCTCAATTAGAGTATTGTGTCCAGTTCTGGGCACCATGTTTCAGGAAAGATGTGAAGAATTGGAGAAGGTCTGGAGGACAGCAACAAAAATGATTAAAGATCTAGAAAACATGAGCTATGAGGGAAGTCTGAAAGAACTGGGTTTGTTTAGTTTAGAAAAGAGAAGACTGAGAAGGGACTAGGTATCAGCTTTCAGGTACCTGTTACAAGGAGGAGGAAGAAATCTTGTTCTCCTTGACTTTTGATGATAGGTCAAGAAGCAATGGTCTTAATTTGCAGCAAGGGAGGTTTAGGTTGGACATTAGGAAAATCTTCCTATCTGTCAGAGTGGTTAAACACTGGAATAAATTGCCTAGAGAGGATGTGGAATCTCCATCACTGGAGATAATTATGAGCAAGGATGATGTAGATGGTGCTTGGTCCTGCCGTGAGCTCAGAGGACTGGACATGATGACCTCTTGTGTTCCCTTCCAATTCTAGGATTCTGTGATTCTATTATTTTGACTATTTTGGCCCAATTGTGTATTTCTTATTCTGTGTTTTGGAATGTGTTTGTTATGGAAATTCTTAGCAGAGCAGTGGGGTGTTTTGCCCCATTCTGCCAGCCAATCCTACTTCTGTTAATTTCATCCAGCTTCCCATTACACTTTCAGTTAGGTGTGGCTCTCCTTCACTTCCTGTCTTGTGCTCTGTTAAACACAGCTACCACTCTCCACCCCAGAAGTGGTTGCATTTTAATGGTGGACAAAGTGGTTTATATAAGCCTGACAAGACTGGTGCCTGTTAGCTAACAAAGTGCTTTGGGGGCATATTGGGTGTTGTGTGGTTCCATTTATTTTAGATCCAAGGGAAACCAGTACACTTCAGGGCTACTTAAACCACTTTCTTATTTATTGCAAGCTTTAAGCAGTTAATACAGTTATTTAAGTTTTACAAGCCTTATGAACAATTACTATATAATTTAAACCTTAAATACTATACATTCTAAAGCAAATAATACAACGCAAAGCAATGCAAAAGCAATTACTAAAACATCTACTATATACAATAATAAAGCCTAATTCACTTATACTTCACCCGTATGCTACCTAGAGTGCCAGGCAGGAGGTCGTGGTTCCATCTTTTCCCACCCATACGAATGCCACCACTAACGTAGCTGATGTGAAGAGCCTAATCACTTCTCGTTACATCAGGCAGGACGTGAAGGTCAATCCTGCCCATTCCCTCCCACTGTTTGTTCTTACTAAACCCAATTAATAGCAAAGAGTGACCTGGTCATTCTAATAATATTTACCAATTGATTATGTGTTGTGTAGGATACATCAAATGCCCAATGCCCCTATTTGGGGTACATCCTGCTACGCAGGATGTTGCTGCTATATGCGCAGTTGACAGTTTCATGGCTGCATCTGTACTTTTTGCTTATCAGAAACAAGTCTCCATACAAGGCCACTTGTCGTGTCGTCTTGATGTGGTCTGGTGTACCAGGCTTAATCTGCATTGTTATGCAAAACAATTCCTGACTCTCGGGCCCGGCCTGCGTGTTTTGTCGCACCAGACTGGAAAGCAGCACTTTGGACAAGACAGACGTCACCAGTTATTGCCAAGGCAGGGTCGTGCAGGCTCCCGCACATTGGGGCAAAAGGCCATGTATAAACAACAGCGCATTCCCTTTTAATTAAGCAAACTGTATGTGCCTGAGAGAGGGGGAGAATTGAGTGGACTAGCCAGTGAGGTCCAGACACTCAACTTCCACTACAATTGGGAACTTAGAAAGCTGTGCGGCACACTGTCCTCTCAGAGATGAGATCAGCGCCTGAAAACGAGGCTGTGTTGTCTCAGCCGCATGGGAAATACTCTCGTTTTCTCCCACAGATCGAGGGTTCCTGCACAAAGCAGTGGTTGCGGCTAGCGGGGCTCATATCATTGAAGAAATCCAGCTGTTTAAGGACCCGGAACCTGTGCAGAACCTTCTGTTCTCACCTGAGAAGGTAGGAGGCTTGCAGACCTGCAGGCAGGAACGGTGCCTGGGGGAGATGCTGCCCCCCGCAGCCAGGTAATAGAAATGTTTTCTGCGTGTCTCCCATCCTGCAGGACATCCTGTATGTGGGGCACTCCAAGGGGGTCCTGCAGGTGCCGCTGGCCAACTGCAGCGTATACAGGAGCTGTGCTGAATGCATCCTCGCCCGAGACCCCTACTGCGCCTGGGACAGGCACAGCCGGTCGTGTCAGGAGACCCGAGCCACAAACAAAAACATGTAAGTAGCTCGACGTGTGGAATAGCTCAGGGAGGAAAGCAGCTGCGGCTAGTGGTTAGAGCACAGACTGGCGAGGCAGGAATCCGGGGTTCTGTCCCAAACTCAAGGAGGAGGTAGGACGGGCAATGCCAGCGCGAGGCATTCTTGCGCCCCAGGCAGACATAATTGCACCCGGGGCCTTGCCCCCGCCCAGCCTGGCAGCACCGTGTGGCGCCCCTTTAAATCAGGCGCTCCAGGCTAGGGCCCAGTCTGCCTGTAGCTTGAAGGCAGGGTGGTGAGAGCAGGGGACTGGGAATCAGAACTCCTGGGGTCTGTTCTCCCTTTGGAATTTTCAGAAGGTGACTTGCAACACTTCCCTGTCTCCCTGGGAGTTGAGAGCTTGCCAGGTGCATTGAGATCCTCCCTGGACAGCAGCTCTAGAAGGGCAGACAGACACGCCAGGGCCTCTGAGAGTGGGGGGAGAGGAGAGGGCGAAAAGCCCCTGGTGTTCCCTGTGCACTAGCAAAGGCAATACAGCCCTATGGTGTCACTAGCGCTCTCTGCACTTAGAGCATGTGCCACTGCCCAGTCCCCTGGAGGTGTCAGCCAGGGCCAAAGCCATGTGCCCTTGGCCCATGGAGCCGCTGCTCTTAGTGTCCGGAGGAGTTTCCTTCTGGCTTTGCAATAAGCCAAGGGTGGACAGTAATTTTTGGAGGGGGGGAACTTAATGAATGTTGGTAGGGAGCCACAGGCTAGCTCCACCCCTGGGAGACTGGGACAGAAGGGGCAGGGTTGGGGACTAGCCTCTCCCCAGAGTTGTCTGGGACCAGAAGCTTTGAATTAAAATCACAGCAAAAGGCTCGTGGCTCCCAACCCCGGTCCACGGGGTCCTCACTATAAGCCCAAGATACGTTCCAAAAACCTTGGACTTATAGGGAAACAACTTAAAGCGGGGAATTTATTTTTTCCCGCGGCCGACTTCCATTTAAGCAAAGTGTGGGGAGTGTTTTGCATGACTTCTAGTGGGGAATGGGAGGACTTATAACGATTCAGTTCCTACAAACATCAATGACTTTAGTGTGGAACGGATGTATACCGGGGCGCCTTAGAGCAGGGACCCCCTGTATTCCCGGATTGTCTGGCAGCTGCCCGGGGTTGCTGCGGCTGTTTAGAGGGTTTGTAGCTCTGGAGTGCCGCGACGGGGAGCCCGGAGCCATGTAAATAGGATCCTGCTGCCGGAAGCATCGCTTGGAAATTCAGTGGCCCAGGCACCAGGCTAGAAATAGAAAGCGGCCAGATGCAGTCCAGGGGCCAGATCAAAGTGTTAATTGGACCGGATCTGGCCCCTGGGCCGCATGTTGCCCAGCTCTGTGATAAGCTCACGCCAGTCAACTGGTGCCATCCCGGCTCTTGTCATCTCCTCCACGGAGGCTCTCTGGATGCATCCAGGCTGCTATTTTTAACATGCTCCTCCCGCCCTGCTAGCAGCCATCTAGTAATGCCTTTAGTAAGGCATTTGATACGGTCTCGCATGATATTCTTATTGATAAACTAGGCAAATATAACTTAGATAGGGCCACGATAAGGTGGGTGCATAATTGGCTGGATAACCGTAGTCAGAGAGTTGTTGTTAACGGTTCTAAATCCTGCTGGAAAGGGATAACAAGTGGAGTTCCTCAAGGGTCTGTTTTGGGACCCGTACTATTCAATATCTTCATCAATGATGTAGATATTGGGATAGAGAGTACTCTTATTAAGTTTGCAGATGATACCAAACTGGGTGGGGTTGCAACTTCTTTGGAGGATAGGGACATAATTCAAAATGACCTTAGCAAGTTAGAGAAATGGTCAGAGGTAAACAGGATGAGGTTTAATAAGGAGAAATGCAGAGTGCTCCACTTAGGAAGGAACAATCAGTTCCATACATACAAGATGGGAAGCGACTGTCTAGGAAGGAGCATGGCGGAAAGGGATCTAGGGGTCATAGTGGACCACAAGTTGAATATGAGTCAACAGTGTGATGCTGTTGCAAAAAAAGCAAATATGATTCTAGGTTGTATCAACAGGTGTGTTGTAAGCAAAACTCGTGAAGTCATTCTGCCGCTCTATTCTGCACTAGTTAGGCCTCAGCTGGAGTACTGTGTCCAGTTCTGGGCGCCACATTTCAAGAAAGATGTGGAGAAATTGGAAAGGGTACAGAGAAGAGCGACAAGAATGATTAAAGGTTTAGAGAACATGACCTATGAAGCCAGGCTTCATGAACTGGGCTTGTTTAGTTTGGAAAAAAGAAGATTAAGGGGGGACATGATAGCGGTTTTCAAATATCTAAAAGGGTGTCACAAGGAGGAAGGCGAAAATTTGTTCCTCTTGGTTTCTGAGGACAGGACAAGGAGTAATGGGCTTAAAGTGCAGCAGGGGAGGTTTAGATTGGACATTAGGAAAAAATTCCTAACTGTCAGGGTGGTCAAATATTGGAATAAATTGCCAAGGGAGGTGGTGGAATCTCCCTCTCTGGAGATATTTAAGAACAGGTTAGATAGACATCTGTCAGGGATGGTGTAGACGGAGCTTGGTCCTGCCTTGAGGGCGGGGGGCTGGACTCGATGACCTCTCGAGGTCCCTTCCAGTCCTATTATTCTATGATTCTATGATTCTATGATCTGTCCACCTGGCCTGGGAGGCTCCCAGTTGCCACATGGACACAACTGCTGCGGCTGCCTTGTGTACCTGCTGCGGCTCAGACGCAAGATCGTCCGGCTGTTGGGAGAGACTGAAAACAACTCCAAACCGACAAACTTTGCCGGTGAAATTGGGGGCATGTGGAAGAAAAGGGAGCACATGCACCCCTGGGCTTCTGCCCCAGTGCCCAGGCCTTTGGCAGAACTCCTGGAGGTTCCGGTACTGGACAGACACTGCCGGTTACCAAATTGCATCCAGACCTGGGGCACAATGGTTCTGGTCTTGGATCAAAGGCGGCTGCAGAGCAACTTCGTTGCCTTGGGTTCCTAGCGCGTTTCTTCTCCCTCTCTAGGAGCGACTGGCTGCAGGACGTCGAGAAGGGGCTGCCGGGAGCTATGTGCCATCAGGCGAGTGGGAGAGGCAGGGCCACGCCCAGGTCCTGGGATGACTCGGGCAGCAGCCTGGTAAAAAGTTGAGTGTTGATCTTCCGGGTTTGTTGTGTTTGGGGCACGTTGGGGACTCTGACGCCGGTGATGTTACAGGAGGTTGGGGAGGCCCCGCTGTGAGCCAGGGCCGCTGTCTGCCACACGGAGAAGCCGGAGACTGGATGGAGGGAAGAGGAGCAAGTTCAGTGCTTCTGAGGCATTGCGCCTCCAGGGGGCTTTGGTCCTAAGTCTAGGCCCTGTGTCTGCAAACAGCATGCAGCAAATCCTAGGACAAAGCCTTTAATCAAAAATAACGTCACTGAGACAGCACTTGGGCCAGTAATAAATAACACACTGAGGTGCCCAGGCTGCTGAACAATCCAGCAACACCATGCCAGGGTGCCAGGCCTCCACACACCCCTACCACACTGAACCAGGGATCCAAGCCCTCTGGACAATCCTACAAGACTGCCAGGCCTCCCAGACAACCCTACAGCAGAGTGCCAGGCTCCTCGGACAATCGTACAACCCCACACCAGGGAGTCAAGCCCTCAGGAAAATCCTATAACACAGTGCCAGGCCCCTGAACAACCCTATAACTGCACACCAAGGTGCCAGGCCCCCTAGATAATCGTACCACACCATGCCAGAGTGCCAAGCTCCCTGGACAACCCTGCAACACCACACCAAGGTGCCAGGCTCCCTAGACAACCCTGCAATGCTGCGCCAGGGTGCTTTAGGTCAAGAATGATACCAGAGCTCGTGCTTTTCCCGCGGGATGTCCCAACGTGGCAGCCCTCCCGTGCTCTGATACAGCAGCCACCGCCAGCTCGCAACCCTCCCAGTTCCCAGCCGAAAGCTGCTGTTCGTGGAAGGATGCCAGTTAGCTCTGGGAGGTGCCCTCCGAGGCTGCAGCTGCATAACTCTGCCTGCAGCCGGCATTCAACATGTCCCAGGGCTTCCTTCCCTGGCTGCAGCCTTGCACACCTGCCTGTGGCCTGGCCCTTTCTTCCTGAAATGGGCAGCACTAAGTATCTGTTTGTTGCCAGTATCGGGATCCCCAGTGGGACAGGAACCGCTCCTGGCAAAATGTCTGTTAACTGATATGGCGGAATTGCTGCAGACTGCTTCCCATTTCTACCTCAGCCAGCACAATGGTGCCCTAAGTAATAGTATTATTATTAGTGGGACAATGGACTCCAGTTTCAGTCCAGATTCTGCAAGCAGCACACAATCAACCTGTGGAACTCCTTGCCAGAGGATGCGGTGAAGGCTAGAACTTTAACAGGGTCCAAAAAAGAGCTAGACAGCCATTGATGGACCTAACCTCCACGAATCTATTAGCCAGAATGGGTAGGACTGGTATCCCTAGCCACTGTTTCTCTGGAAATGGGTGACAGGAGGTATCATGTAAGGATTACCTGTTGCGATCTCTCCCTCTGGGGCATCTGGTATTGGCCACTGTCGGCAGACAGGACACTGAGCTAGATGGACCTTTGGTCTGACCTGTTCTTATGTAACTTTCGATTGGCCATAAAAACGATCACATTTGGTCCAATGGGAAATCAGTTTTGTTCCTCGGTGGGGTTTTTTTGGATTCCTTCAAACTCCATGACTTGCCCTGGCTCTAGTGGCAAGGGGTAGGGGACAGCTCTTGAACCAGCAGCGTCTCACCGCTGGGCAGCCAGCGACTCATCGCTCCCTCTCCCCTCCTTGTGTCTTTCCAGCTCTGAGCCCAGTGCTGAACTCCCTGGTCCGGCTGACGTGCCCGCAGGTCTCTGCCCTGGCTAATTACACCTGGAGCTACCCAGAGCAGATGCCCCCGGCGTGGCTGATGGTGTTGGATGACAGGACGCTGGTGATCATCGCACAGCCCCAGACGGCGGGCGAGTACAAGTGCTGGGCCAGCGAGAATGGGCACCGCCAGGCCGTGGCCCACTATGTGGTCGGGGACCCTACGGGTGGCGACATTGCGGAGGAGGGGCTGGGCTGGGGGACAGGGATGCAGGGCAAGCACCGCTCATACTGGACGCAGTTTGTGACGGTGACAGTGCTGCTCTCGGTGACACTGGCTGTCGTCATGGCCATAGCTGCCTTCTCCTACCACGACCGGCTCAAGGCCAAGAGCAAGGTGCAGGGATGCAGCACCCCCGAGGCCACCAAGGTGTCTAGTCAGGAGAAGGTGCCACTGAAGGGAGGTCGGGAGCTGCAGCTTCAAGGACCCTTCCAGGAGGGTGCCAAGGGCCCCGAGGCCTGCTGCGTCCAGCTGGAGGGGGTGTACCAGAACATAGACGCTGACAACAACACGTTAAACAGCAGCCTGGGGACCGGTGAGCACTCCCAAGGAGCGGCTCTAGACAAAGCTTAGACTGCCTGCCTCCTTCTCAAAATCAGTGGCACTGTGATAATGCGCAGCCCTACAATAACAAGCCAGTGGGCATCCAGCCCCCATATGCATAACACATGTCGGATCAGCTGGTTGGACCTTCCAGCCCAGCCAGAAATCACACCTGCTTGTCTTCCGGATGCCAGCTGCTACCGCCCACCCACGTCTGGGTCGCTCCTCTGCTGAAGCAAAGGGCCCAGCTAGGGTCTGGGCATCACCAGCAGCTGAGTCGTGGGAGGGGCGTTAAAAATCAACAGCCCTCCTGCTTTTGTGTTTCTGCCCCGACCAAGGGACAGCAGAGGACAGCCGCTGTCCAGATGTAGGCACATCTGGGACTCTAGATTCCCAGGTCCAAAGGAGCTGGTGGGCAGAGCGTGCCCTCTTCTGGCAATGCCTGATTGGGGGTCCAGCTGGGAGCAGGGTTCTAGTAGCCGACTGTGCCCTGTTGCTCTGTCTGTAGAATTGGGATGCCTGGGTAGCCGCTGCCTCTCACACTGTTGCCACCAGGAATAAGTTGTTGGTGGCATCCCTATGCTGGTCTGGACTAGCTGGGAGCTACCACATCCTCTCCCCGAGGGCTGTGAACAAAGGACAAGTATTATGTGGGATGCTGGGCCTAACCTGGGTCATTACAGCTCCGCTTACTGGATCTGATGTTCTGCCTTTAAGTGCAGGGTCAGCAGTTCAAATCCAGCCTTGGCAGGAATGGTCAGACAGCTGATCCTCATCAGCCTGCAGCTGGACTCCCCATCTGGCTCCTGCTTGGCCTGAGATCTGGATCACAACAGACATTGCTTGCTGGCCCCTTGAAGGGGAGACTGTGCTCTCCTCTGGGGAGTGTCTTTCCATCAGAGGGCATTGTGCTATCTCTCCCTGCTGTGTGTGCACAAAAGGGCTTTAGGGCCTTATTCTTATTTACGCGCAGGCCTCTGTACACCACTCTGGTCCATAAAGGGGGAATAAATTACAGCCACACCCTTCTGCACTCCTGGAGTGGTATGAAGAGGCCTTTAAAGAGCGAACCGGGCTGAGTCCCAGGGGTTATGGAGCCAACCTCCTGAAAATATTGACTTGGGAGGGGGAGTTGTAAGGGAGACTGGGGGCTGGGGAGGAGACTGGGGCTGTGACCAAAATGTGAAGTTGCTGGGTTTTTTTAATTTAATATTTTTAGATTTAAATTAAAATTTTGCCAGTGGCAGAAATGAGCGAACCCTTTGTTTCACCACGGCCACCCAGCCAGGGGAACAACGTGGCCACTGAAAGTTATTGAGAATGCCCTCTGACGTGGGGCAAATGGGGTGAGGATTTTGCACAAACCACTGGATTGCGTCTGGGGTTCAGTGCAACCAGGTGAGTGGATTTCCCCGGGGAAAGGCCTCGGATTTCTCCCTCTCAAACGGGATGGGTTTGCTCGTTTCGAAAACCTTTCTCCAACCACATCAGTATTATTATGTGATGGATAAAGTAACCCCTGCATTGCTCAATGGCAGCTATTACACCTCGTGTTACATTTGCCAGCAAAGCGGCTAGGTTCTACCAGGATGTCCCTGGAAAATCCAGGCTTCTTTCACCTGGAGATTTCAACCGCTGGGGAAATAGCTTTGAGTGGCAGTGCCTGTGGGCACTAGGGGTTGCAACAGTGCAACTTGGTTGATACTTGTAATCTGGGCAGATCCCCAACCCGCTGTACAAGATCTGATGCAAACGCATCGTCCGAGCTCTGTGAAGAACTCGATGCCCTGACGAAACACTCAAGTAAAACGCTTCCCTGGAATCTTTCCCTCTTTAATTCTCATCACTGGGGGAAGGGGGACAATGGGAAACAAGCTACTTCCAGGAGTACAGTTGCCAAAGGGATAATTACTCCAATCACAACAGGTCAGACATTTTGGAACTCACTACTCAACTAATTAAATGTAAGCATAAGAGAGAAATGAAAGTTATGAAATGCAGAGAGAGCTACGTGACTGTGAAATCCTGCTGGAGACAAGGCCGGGTAATTGTTACCTCTGGAAATTACCTATGTCCTAGTCAAGAGGAAATCCAGGAGGGGCAGGATTCACTTGGACAAGACACACTGAGGCAAAAACTACCTGAGCATTGTCCGCTTGTGGATTTCACCAGGCTCACATGCCCTCCCGCAGGGAAGACCTAGCCTGTGTGCTCAGCCTCCTGCTCTCATCCCTGCACTGATTACCGCTCTGTAACAGGGACTGGATTCTTCTCTCGAGTGCCGGTGCTTATAGAGCCGGGACAAAGCCCATTCCATCCGGGTCACTGATCAGCAGGCTGTGCACCAGGTTGTGTGTATTGCCAAGCACAGCTTGATCCTCAGCTTGTCAATCAGCATAGCTCCTTGGACTTCACCATCGACATCCACTGGGGATCTCATCCTATTAGCTTCAGTGGAGCTGGGCCAGTTTACACCTGCTGGAAATCTGGCCCTTTGTTGCTTGTTGTATTATGTTTAACCTTTTTTTTTTTTTTAAGAGATGTACATCTTCCTTGTCTTGATCATTTTATTTTTTATTAAAAATGAGAATGTTACACACCTGTGCTGCTTTTTTATTCTGATAGAAGGAGCATGTCTGGATGCCTGACATCCTGGCATGGTGTTGCTGGATTGTTCAGCGGCCTGGGCACCTCAGTGTGTTATTTATTACTGGCCCAAGTGCTGTCTCAGTGACATTATTTTTGATTAAAGGCTTTGTCCTGGGATTTGCTGCATGCTGTTTGCAGACACAGGGCATAGACTTAGGACCAAAGCCCCCTGGATGCGCAATGCCTTATTTGGCATTGCCCGGGGCCTTCCCTGCCAGTGACACCCATACTAAAGGGTGTAAAACCCCACCCTGGAGCCCAGCAATTCAAAACAGCCTGGGGCTCCCACTTGCTGCTACTGTGGCAGAGCTGGTAAGCAGAGCCCCAAGCCCTCTAAATCACTGCTGGAGCATCACACAGAGCTCCCGGCAATTCTGAGGGCTGGAGAAGGGGTGGCAGGAGGTGCGTTCCAGGTGGTGCTGAGGGCTGGCTTCCCCCACCCCCACCCTTTCTGCCCAAGGCCCCACCCCTTTCGGGAGTGCAAAGCTGCACCCCTCCCCATCTTGCCCAGGGCCTGGCAATTCTGTCAGCCCCCCTTCTTCTGAAGATCTGGGCCTATGCAATGTGCCCAAGGTCACACAGAAAATGCAGCAGAGGGAATTGAAGCCAGGCTTCTTAAATCCCAGGCTAATACCCTCACCACTAGGCCATCCTTTCTTTACATAAGAATTGGGTCAAATCAAAGGTCCATCTAGCCAAATGCCCTGTATTCCAACAGTGGCCAATGCCAGGTGCCCCAGAAGGAATGAACAGAGCAAGGAATCATCAAGTGATCTCTCCTGTAGCCCCTGATAGCTGGGAAAACATAATCTCAACTAAGGGTGTAAAATCATGTTTAATGGGTTAACTGGTTAAACATGCGCTTCCCCTCCCCCCACCACAGGCAGGGAATGCTCCAGCCTGGCCAGAGCAGCCCCTACCTGCAGTGCACCCAGGTCCTCTGTAGATAGGGGCTGCTCCGGACACAAACACGTACTCAACCTGTGGAACTCCTTGCCAGAGGATGTTGTGCAGACCAGGACTTTAACAGGGTTCCTAAAAGAGCTAGATAGCTTAATGGAGGTTAGGTCCATCAATACTTTATTAGCCAAGATGGACAGGGATGGTGCCCCTAGCCTCTGTCAGAACCTGGGAATGGGTGACAAGATGGATCACTTAATGGTTCCCTGTTCTGTTCATCCCCTCTGGGACATCTGGCATTGCGCTCTATCGGAAGACAGGACACTGGGCTAGATGGACCTTTGGTCTGACCCAGTCTGGCTGCTCTTATGTTCCTATGTTAACAGCCAGGGATCAATAAAAGGAGTGATCTGAAACCACAATCTTGGAAGAGAGTGAGCATGTTGACAGGCCTGAAAAGAGCACTCTCATTACAGTCTAATTAGTGTCCCTGTGGTTCACTAGGAGGGTAAGAAGCATTAGCTCTGATCTTTTAAGGATCATTACCTGGCTCTATCCCTTTAAAGAGTCATTATCTGGTCTGGTCCATTAAGAGTCATTAAATGTCTCTTTGTTTGCGATGTTATTGTAGCTAGGTTTGCTCCAGGATATTCGCAAGACAGCCAGCCAGGAGCTTTTATTGGACTGATGTCTGTTGGCACAAGAGATGAGCTTTCTAGCTACACAGACCACTTTTCAGGTCTGGGAGGTGGAACGGTGTTTAGCAAAAGGACTCGCACATATTCAAAGTGGCCCATTAGTGGGTTACAGTTTGGATTTATGGCTTGTTCCAGGGGCAACTGGTGAGAGAGGACATATGGGGAGGGCCACCAACCTGTCCCCCATGACTCCTCCCCATGTCACTTGTAGCCGGGGGGAATGGGATAACCCTCACTCTGTCCCAGACCCCGCCCTTCCCCACCCTTGCTCCGCCCTCTCCCTGCCACTTCCCCATCCCCACCCCATTTCCTCTCCTCCCCCCCGCCCCGCCCCAATCCCAGGGCTACTCTCAACACGTGTGCAACCCGTTTGTTTGCAGCCCGCAGTGTAGTTTGGATTTACATGGGGCTCAACACACAACCCATGGGTGGAAGCCAAAACAAAAAAAGTAGTCAATATAATGGTTTTCCACCCCATTCCCTCTCCTCCCCCCCGCCCCGCCCCAATCCCAGGGCTACTCTCAACACGTGTGCAACCCGTTTGTTTGCAGCCCGCAGTGTAGTTTGGATTTACATGGGGCTCAACACACAACCCATGGGTGGAAGCCAAAACAAAAAAAGTAGTCAATATAATGGTTTTCTGTTAATATGCGTTTTAGTTGTTAAATTCCTAGACTGTCATTGCTCATTAAAAGTGCTGTCATTTCGGTGGAAATCGGGTCAATAAGGCATTTTATTAATATCAGCAGCTCTGATTTCAATGGGGCCTGTGTGCTGTGTACTCTTGCCTTAATCTTTGTATTCATGCCCGTCAGTGTGAAAGAAGCTATTTGCATGTATGTGCAACCACACTTAAGTTGCAGCCCTCGGCATTTGCTGTGAGTATTACTGTGGCCCCCAGGGCTTCCAAAGTTAAGAAGCCATACCGTAGCCCATCCCAGCAACACTCAGGGGTCTAGCGGGGGCCTGGCGCCAGCAGCAGGGGTCATCTTCCTGTGCTCAGCAGCAGCGGTGGGCCCTGGAGAAGCAAAGCAACACAACCGCAGTCCACTCCACTCCCCCAGCTGCTGGCTGCGCTGCTCTGCTTCCCACTGGTGGGGGGAAGGGCATCCTACCCTACCCCTGACAGATGTGGCCACGAGCCTTGGGGAATGGAGACACGTTCCTCCACTTCCCCCTGCCGCTGCCAGCGAGTGGCCCCTGCAGCAAACACCAAGCCACCCCATTAGTCCTCTGGACTCCCGGGCTGTGTCTAGACTGGCAAGTTTTTCTGCAAAATCATTTAGACATTTTCCTCCACTTCCCCCTGCCGCTGCCAGCGAGTGGCCCCTGCAGCAAACACCAAGCCACCCCATTAGTCCTCTGGACTCCCGGGCTGTGTCTAGACTGGCAAGTTTTTCTGCAAAATCATTTGATTTTGCGGAAAAACTTGCCAGCTGTCTACACTGGCCGCTTGAATTTCCGGAGAAGCACTGACCATCTCCTGTAAAACCATCAGTGCTTTTCCGGAAATACTATGCTGCTCCCGTTCCAGCAAAAGTCTTTTTCCGAAAGACTTTTGCGCAAAAGGGCCAGTGTAGACAGCACAGTACTGTTTTCCGCAAAAAAGCCCCGATCGCGAAAATAGCGATCGGGGCTTTTTTGCGGAAAGCCGCGTCTAGATTGGCCACAGACGCTTTTCCGCAAAAAGTGCTTTTGCGGAAAAGCATCCTGCCAATCTAGACGTGATTTTTCCGAAAATGCTTTTAATGGAAAACTTTTCTGTTAAAAGCATTTTCGGAAAATCATGCCAGTGTAGACGTAGCCCAAAGACTTTGGCCCCTCGCTCTACCTCCTCGGGGCCCCCTCACACATCGTCCCTGGCTGGTTCCAATAATCTGTATTAAGATCATGACTGTTACTGCCAAGCAACTTTATGAATTTAAGCTCCCATGTTTGCCCTTTGAAGGTGTTGTGCAGGTTTCCTTTGAGGCTGAGGGCTGGAAGGTCCAACATGTAGCGATCTTTCTGTGAAAAGCCTTCTCCTATGGGTGATAAGGGCTGTGTCTACATTGATGCGATCTTGCGCAAAACTTGCTGCCTGTCTACACTCGCTGCGTGTTCTTGTGCAAGTAAACGGACTTTCTAATGTATAAAATCAGGGCTTCTTGCGCCAGAACTCTGATGCTCCCACTCAGGAATAAGTCCTCTTGTGCAAGAGCTCTCCCACAAGAGGCCAGCGTAGACAGACAACATGAATTCCTTGTGCAAGAAAGCCCGATGGTTAAAATGGCCATCTGAGCCAGCGTCTACACTGGCATGGATGCTCTTGCGCAAAAGCACGTGCCAGTGTGGATGCTCTCTTCTGGAAGAGTTTTTGCACAAGAACTCTTCCGCAAAAGAGTTCTTGTGCAAAATCATGCCAGTGTAGACGTAGCAAAGGTGTTTTGGTCCTTTCTAACTTTTCTGAGTGAGTTTATATGAGAGCATAGCGGTTGTCTAGTTTCACCCACACTGTTGTTTTTGGGGCACTTAGTGCCCTGGGTGAGGCATACCACTTGTTGTGAGAGGCACGTAGGTGTAGACCCCTGAATAGTGAAAGGTATGGATGGGTAGGGTTGCCAGGTGTCTGGTATTTTCACCTCCTGTCCAGTAAAAAAATTCAGAAAATACCAGGCACCTAAAATGTCCAGTATTTTCTGATTTTTTTTCATCCCTGCCAGGAGTCAAAAATACCGGACACCTGGCAACCCCACAACGCACTCAGCAACTGTGCCCAGCCCCCAGACCTCCTGCTTACCTGGTTCCGCAGGGAAGCTCCCTTCTGGCTCCACCAAGAGGTGGATTTTTTTTTGTGGGGCTGGAGTGTGTTCGGTATTTTTGTTGAAACCATCTGGCAACCCTAGGTATGGGGTGGGTTTTATAGGTCTTTGTAGCTGTGGTAATATGTCTGCAGGCTTTGCCGGTAGTTACAACATGGTCTGGTACTGTTGGGAGGTGGTTGGTGCTACTCTGCGGGGAGCTTGCTTCTGATGCTGAGAGATTTGGGGTGATCTTAACAGATCCTGTGACCACCTCAAAGACCATACAAAAAATCTTATCTACTGCCAGGCCTCAGCTACCATAGAATAGGCTCTGAGGAAAAAGTCTAGCACTTACCACTAGGGATGTTAAAATGTGGGTAATTGGCTGGACATGTAACTGTTGAAAATGTCAGCAGTTATGCGGTTACATGCACCTGCAACACGGGGAAGCAGCCAGCTCCCCAGGAGCCAGTGTGTGCATCAGGAGCTGGTTTTTAAGCCTGCTCCCTGCCTATAGCAGCTCCCAATACCTTTAAAGCCAGCTCTCTGCATGTACTAGTTCCCGCCTGCT